CACACACTCACACACACTCACTCAAAAGGCAAAAAACCTATAGAGGAAGCAGCAGCATGATGAAAACCACATGAAGACAACAGAAAAGGAAGGAGAGGGGTAGAAATGGCAGCCAGTAGAGAGAGCTGACCTTTGTTTCTGGTGGACAGGTTGCTGCCTCATGGCCATGTACTGGGTGTCTTCCTGCAGCCGGTTGAGCGGTGAGTCTGGCTTCACCCGGATGCCATAGTAATGATACTTAGAGTTGCCTCTGGTAGATTCAGCGAGAGAAAAGCCAGAAACCAGTGAGGAGGAGAAGACTTTCTATCAGTGTAATCACTATCATTATCCTCTTCCATCAGCAAGTCTCCGATGCCAATAAGCATCATCATACTCGTCACATCTATAATGGTTACATGATTACTGTTATCAGCATCTTTAGCATCAGCAACGACCGCTTCCTGTTTGTACCTGGTGCCGAGACGGCGGGTCCTCAGGCCCATGAAGACGGAGCGGATGAGCTTGCCGAAGGAGGCCGCGTTGACCGGATCCAGTTTCTGTTCCTGACAGTGCCGTAAGTAATGGTTGTAGAGGGAGCACCGGGGCAGGCTCACTCCCTCAGCGGTCTCATAGTTGTCCAACAGCCACTGAAGCTAAAAACACACAGAGGGAGACACGGTCCGACAATCAGTGAGCCCCAGTGGACAATTTCTGCTCTGTGATAGTCACCTGGCCAGAAATGAAGAGCAGCAGTGCATCTTATTAGCACATCAAAAGACAGATAACACACACCACACACACTGTCCTGCACACACGTCACATGACCGCCTATTTTAAGAGGTTAAACACCAGAGAGACCACTGCACTCCCAAATGTGACTACGTTTAGGCCGTTATATTTTTGACTGAAGCAGTGAGTGACTAAAGCAAAAGGAATGGCTGATTGAGTGAACACTCAAACATCTGAAGTGAAATTTATTCTACTGGACCAATCTCCAAGACCGCGAATACTGAGGAGGACACGGTCGTATCTCCGTCTGTAGCAGTGCAATCATAAGTAATCTGCATAGAAAGCTCAAACTACCAATTTGGAAATCATATTTAAAGCAGATACTTTAAACACTTCTCATACAAATGAGATGACAGCTGAGAATAACAGTTGGAATATAGGGAAAGCGTCTAAACCCCACATTTCCCACGAGAGGAAGAGTCTGGACAGAAATACTACATGAATCTTATTTAAATTGAGTTATAATTGAGTGCCAGCCTCCCGACAAGAGAATAAGTTATATTGCAATACAATTTAGTGACAATGAGTGCATGTCTTGGTGTATTTAGAAAGGAAATTAACAGAAATCTTGACAAATCAATCAATTGGAGTGCATGCAGAGTATTACCAAATATATACACGATGCATTCTTAAGCAAAAAAGTGACAGCAAATGCAAGTTTAGAACAAGGACGAACACTAATTGAGACAATTATGCATGCCAGTGGGACAGTGCAGAGGGTAAGTAAAGCTCGCAGTGGGCAGCGTGTTCAACAAAAGACAAGTCGAACACACTGCCTAAAGGTTCAGCTTTTAATTTGTTTTTGTTTTGTTTTTTCATTTTCTTTCATGTCCTTTTCAAAGAAATTCCTGGTTGACTTACATGGCTGTTGAGCAGGCTGCTTTTGTGACTTGCAATTCCTTCAGACTTTTGGAGGTTTTCAATCGCCATTTCAAGCTAAAGAAAGAAAGAAGCATGCAAAAAAAAAAAAGAAAAAAGTGGACACAGAAGAGGGAGGAGGCAGGAGAGTGAGAGAAAAAGAGAAGGGGACAGAAATAAGCAGGGGTATATGAAAAAATAAATAAAAAAAACACACACACACATACAAAAAAAAACAGATAAAGGAAATAAGACTGTTAGCGAGCAGCCAGATCTCTGCATTTCCATTAAAATCAGTCAGTGTTGCAGCCAAATCCATTATTGGCTTACAAAAGCATGCAAATCAAGGGGACTCGTAGGGTTAAGCTGCTCAGTGAAGGTCTGCGGTCAGACACTCTTAATGTATGCAAATAGGAACCACAAACAGGGGCACAGGTCACGTCACGTTTGGGGATACTAGGTCAACAACGCCTACCCCCACCCTGCCCCACCCCCCAAACTTTATCAAACAATGCAACTCGGATCACTTTCTGAAAAACTAAAAATACGACGAGTGAGTAAACAAGAGTGCCGCGGTATAAAACACACGGACATATTATCCTGTCTTGAGACAAAACAAAAAATAATTGAGTCCAACTGGCGGGCAAAGTGAATGACAAAACCAGGGACGTTCTGTTGAGCTGTAGAAGAAAATCAAGTCAAAAAAGAAAAGACGTGTGGTACTGCAGCCAAACTGGAGACACAGAAGAAAGGGAAAAAGAGGCAGGCAGCGTTCCAAGCCTTAAGAAGGCTCCAGAGGGCTCATGGCCAAATGGTAATGAGCCCCAGGGGTTGCTTTGTTTCACAGGGCGCTCAAGTGCTTGTGAAAACCTCTGAAACAAGGCAGCGCTGAATTATTTAAGCCGGTGTCCCGATTCTACAGGCTCTTTTCCCCGTACTGCTCTGCTCTCTGTGTGTCACTGCAGAGCCGGGAGGCCCCGACTCAGGTTGCTGTAAACCCCTGCGTGTCTCTCCCTGCCTTTCAAGCTTGTCCGGGAGCCTGGCCAGTCTGGACACAGGCTCAGGTGGCGGTGATGACAGTCAGCGCCAGTGTGCGTCTGGTGGTCGTGGGGGATCTCCGCTAAGTAAACCATGTTGTAGCTGATAGTAGTAACAACTTACATTCTTTAGAGAATAAAAACTATAAATGGCCACAAAGCAGCATGAGAAAAAAAACAAACAACCCTCTGACTTAAAAGTAGCACAGAAACACTGGTATGGGAGCTGCTCACCATAGCTGAGGAGGAGCGTGAGGAGTGTGATATGTGGTTGCGGCTTCCCTCCATACTTCCCCCGTGGATCAGATAAGTGCTTCCACTGGAGATGATGTGGCTGCTGCCCACGTCCATAGCGATGCCCACCATGCCATGAGGGGGCACCCCACCGCTGGCAGAGGAGACCACCGTGGTGACATGAGCTCCACCGGCCTGTGAGTCAAAGTAGGTTCCCCCACTGCTCTGCCCATACAACTGAGCATCAGGGTTGTAGGAGTAGGCCGCTCGGCTGGGGAGGAATCATTGCAATTAGCACACAGTGGAGACTCTTCATCATGATGCTAAACAAACTACACTTCATGGCACTGCTGTTACAGTACATACTCTCGTTTAGGCTGACAACAATATAACTGATGTCATCAAAATGTTTGGTTACGCTGGAGTCAAATCAAACATTAAAGTGTGAGAAAGAAAATCAGGTTTGGCTTCAGTTAGGAGTTTTGATTAGAGCCACTTTAAAAGCAGTTGGATGTTAAAATGATGAGAAAAGTGGTCTTGAAAGTCTTATTTGTCATTAGGCTTTTCATCCAGCACCTATTCATACATAATTCAAGATGACTCTGCATTTGGAGTGCAGCCGAATATCACACAATTTGTCCCTTTAATTTGAAAAGCAAAAATGTTTTACAGCATTTTAGCATTTTACATTAACACAGTGGCAAATTTAAACTATGATAAACAAAAATATTATGTTTAAATCCCACAAGCACAATATTAAGGCTTACATAAGTAAACCAAAGCACTGTCAAGTATTAAAACGTGTTATTAAAGGATGAAATAGAGTGTATTTTAAATCAATGTGATGCTTTACTGGGTTAAATTAAATGTGACTGTGTAAACTATCAGGTCTCATGTTGCTGTAATGTTTTACTTACATGGTCCCATTAGTGTAAACAGCCTCTCCACTTTCTGCTACATACTGGACCTGGGATGGGTAGACATGTTGCACTTGCTGCACCTACAGAGAGAACAGGAAACAGGAAATCAAAGTAAGAAAAAGAAAAAAAAAACTTTTATTCATGCTTCTGTATTTGTACAAATGTGTACAAACTGCAACTACAACTTGAATAGTAACTATCTTTAATCATACAAGTAGTGTGTAACATTACAATATTTATTTCTGGGTGTAGGTATGTGCACACCTGTTACAGTGCAGTGAAAAAGTTTGTTCACCCCTTGGTTTGGTTTTTTCACTTTATATTTAATTATTTGTCCAAAACAGAAGCCTTAACAATATAATTAACATTAAAAACAATACTGTATTCAGACCTACCACGGTTCTTTGTACAGGTTCTGTAATATTTGCTGAATAAGTAGGTTATTTTTGAAAAGGGGAATAATGATTAAAGGTGTTAATGGAAGTTGATGAAATAAAGTGATTTAAACTTGAAATGAAAAAGATGTACATGTGGTTAAATAAAAACAACCCAATACAACAGATAATGAACGCTATGCTGAAGGATTAAAAAAAAGGTAAAAGCAGGTATTGAACTGTCCGTCTGCTATTAGCTGATCTTGTGTCATGTGACACTGGTGCCTAAAATGAGCCAATAGCAGGCAGACACGTCAGTTCCTGGTTTCCACCGTTACACACTAGACATCACACAGATTTTGTGTTGGGATTTGGTTCAAGCCCCCAGGAATCATCGGGCTTTGTTTGGACCCAGAGAAGACTTTTTGCCGTACACATCACCACAAAAGAAACCGCTGCAAAGCTAAGGAATATCTTCATCATCACACGTATTCAAAAATGACTCTTTTCATGTGTGCAGGCAGTGGGCCAGGCTCAGCCAGAGAAAGACGCTACGAGGGGAACAGGAAGCAGGAGAGACTTTCTGACACATGCCCTGTGAATGAGCAGCTTTCAGGGGATTGGATGGGCTGCCACGTTTGGGATCTTTATTTAGAGTTTTTTAATACAAAACATGGTTTCACTGGTTACTGTTTAACTGGTTTATTATTTGATGTGTCAGTCGAAGGCCAAAACTACGACGCCCCAGTCTGACTGTCATTATTATTTAACCTGAGAGTAATTTCTGACCTGACTGAGACACAAGGGCTTTGTTGTAAGTCCTGGTGAAACAGGCTATATTCTTATTTTGCCAAAACTGGATTTGTCTCGTCACTTTATTGTAAAAGAAAAAAAAGAATATAGGTATCCAGCTCAGTCGCAAAAGTCAAAATAATTTAATTAAAAAAAGACTTTAAAACATCAAGGGGTGTACAAATCTTTTCACAGCACTGTACCAGTATGTACAGTACTGTGTACCTGCTGAGGGACCTGTTGAACCCTGGGTACTGAAAGCTGCTGTACTTGTCCTCCCTTCTGAGCTGAGCCTGTGGCTTGAACCAGCACCCTCTGTGTGGATACAAGACATAACTCCATTACATAGGTATGCAAGTACAATCACATACACACATCATTGTAAACACGTCAACACAACACGGGCAAACATATCAACAAACGCTGCCCTCAAGACTTTAAGATAGTATTGGAAGATTTGTGTGTATAATACAGCAGATGGAGATGCATAAGTGTATTATTGTAACAATAAATTAGATTTCTATAGCTTCAAATGTTTGTGGTAATGCCTGTACTGGTCCAATAAGGCAGGAGGAAGTTATGACAGAAGCTAGAGTGGTAAACAGATACAAGAGACATCTGTTGGCAGAGTGGACGGGTCGTAGCTTCAGCTGCTGACAAGTTACAAACTGGAACCACTATTAAAAATGTTGTTATTTATTGTAGGTGAATGTGGAGCACACTGAACTGTAAGTGCTCCCGGGAGAGATTCTGCTGTTCTTTTACAGTCTTTTACACATTTGGAACTCAGTATTTGGAAACAGATATGTTGGAACAATTATGTCATTACGCTTTACTTTCCCCAATATCCCCAATGTAATAGTAGCGACAGGCGGGGCGGAGGCAGGACCTACCTGCTGGGAGGCTGGGACAGGCTGTACCACAGGGGCCTGAGCTGATGACGATGTCCGCAGCGCTGCCACGCTGGTCGTGGTGTCTGACCCTCCCTCGGAGCTCTGCATGCTGGGTTGCGGGAAGAATTAGAAAAGAGAAAAGACATGAGCGGGGGGGCGGTTATACCAGACAGGTAACGCCAAAAGAAAGAAAATAATAAGAGCATTTCAAGTCTATACACATGGACAGCCATACTCAATAAATACTCCTCCACCTCACACCTTCGGGGGGAGTCAGTGAAGCTCTCAGAGGCTGACCAACTTTGGCCTTAATCAATGGCAAAATAAGCAGCCCAGTAACAGTATTACACAGACGGTGGTGTTGCTGACAGATCAGACCCAGGTGGAAAAGTTACAGTACAGGAGTTCAAGTTACCAGCAGGATTGAAAAGCTTCCTGAGGACCAAACCCGCTGCTGCCGCGACTCAGCTTTCCACTGGGTGACAATGTGCACAGCATAGCAAAGGGAAGCTAAAAACGGAGTGACACAAAGGCTCTCGTTTAAAAAAAAAAAAAGAAAGGATAGAAAGGAAAAGAGCGGGAGTAAGGCAGGGACAAGGGAAGAATGGAGCTGCAAGGGGGAGTAAAGCAGATAGAAAAAAAACAACTTCTCCGTCAAAAAAAAGAACAAACGAAGGGGGAAAAAGATGAAACTGGCAGCGGGGCTCCGGCCCCTGCCAGGGTCCTGATGATATCCAGCGTTTGTTTCGAACGAGAGCCGTTCTCCGAGGGCTCCAATAATCCAGCTGATATGAGGAAATTCCTCAATGCTTTGTAAACGTTTGTCGGTTGCTATGGTGAGGAATCCATGACGACCACCCCCAACTCAACCCCCCTCGTCCCCCTTTACAAAGCTCTTGCACAGGAACTTTCGAGTGCGAAAGCAAAGAGAAGAGGGGGAGGAGGTTTGGAATAAGGGAGAGGGAGATATGGCACAGTCGGGGGGGGGGGGGGGGACTGATGAGCATTTGGTTTAAAGGAAGAAATCCAGGAGCAGCAGGAAAAGTCAGTCGGTAGAGGAAAGAACCGGGAGCATTAGAGCAAAGGGCTGCAAGACACAACCTGTTACAGACACGCCGGGATTAGTCGTAACACACGACGCAATGTTATTTTAATTCACTGGAAGAGATGTGATGAACAGTGAGGCTGAGATATATTAGATATAAGCAACAGGTGCAGGAGCAAACCTAAACTTTGTGACCCTTAAAGATACTAAACTATTATTATTATTATTAAACAAGAATTAAGAAAGAGCTTTGTGACTGCATCTAAATGTCTGAAATTCACCAATAAAAGACGAGCTGATGAATTTAACCCGGACAGAAAAGAATAATAAAAACAAATAAAACGTGACAAAGTGAGTCAGAATCAAGGAAACCCCACCGGCAGCGGAGAGGAAGAGGAAACGAATCTAACCGAATCATAGTTCCAACCAAAACAGGAGTTCTCATTTTCAGAGTTAAAGTCTTAGACGAGGTAAAACATCCGCTCTTTAAAACAAACCACCTGAAGAACCATTACACAAATACAAACACGATGCAAGCCCGTCAGTGACACTACCACACAGTCCTTACCTTACAGATAAACTATTTATTCTTTTGAACAGTTTTGAAACTCCACTGTCGACTGTGTTAAGTTTCAGACAGCAGCAGGAACACGGAGGATATTTAAGGTTTGGGGGGGGGAAACTATTGGATGTTCAGAGTGTGCCTTTAAGATAAAAACAACATTTGGGTGTGTCACCACTGACAAAGACATGACTAACAGAGTGGAGGAGGCCTGTGTTGAAATGTATGATGTGTCAATCAGTCCATCTTCAATCAGCACTTACTTGTGACGGCGCTTATATTCCCTTACAGTTTTTCTTCACACCTCTTTTCCTGTGTGTCAGTAAATTACCAAGTGAGCGTTTTAAAAGCCACTGCAATGCTCGGGCATCTCTCTGAAGCAAGGCATTTGTCTACGGAGTGTCACTTGGGTTATAAATATACTTGCGACAATCCCGTCGTTTATCTTCAGACTTGTCTTTTTCACCAGAAGGAAGTGACACGAGCCCGAGGGGCGAGACGGTGAGACGGTGGGGGATCAGGAAACAGAGCACTCCTGCATGATTTCATCCATTAAAGCTCAATTAAAGCGCTGGCTTTAATAGGTACGGTGAAGTGTATCACATCGCTGGACTGGAGGGGGGAGAGACGGGAGAAAAGGAAAGGTTAAAAGCCACATAAAATCCCCACTAGCAGCTATGAAAGGTAGAACACAGCAGGACAAACCTTTCTGCCTCCACACACACACACACACACTGTCTGTTTTTCTGTCAGGTCTGTGAGTCTGGTTTCATTCAGGCAAATCCCAGATGAGCACTTAACAACATTACAACAGCAGCCCCTCCTTTCAAGAGTTACCTGAGTTTTAAACGCTGTACGGAAACAAGAGGAGACACATTTTAAGAAGCCCAAAGCCTCACACACACACACAGACACACACACACACACACACACAAGCGCGCTGTCATTCGGGCTTTAGTGTGTAACGTTAGCGCTGCAGTCGAGATTTAAACATCTGTCACTGACACATCGAACTTAAACAGGGCTCAATCAGAGAAAAACACATACAGATGTTCAATTAAAAGCAGGAGCCCACAGTCTTGGCTCGTGTTTGCACTGGCCCACATTGTTTGCAGAGCAACAACGGTTGCTAGTGGCAACACCGTCCACTCCCGTTTCCAGGAGCCTGTTGCCATGCAACCAACAGAATACTTCCCAAACCAAACAATGCCATCCCCCCACCTGATCCCTCTATCTCACGCTAAGTAGAAACTTACAACAATAAATACTATGTAAGCTATTAGTTTCAGACTGCAGGGGACACCGAGGCAGAGTTATAGATTTAAAAATGTACAGACTTTATGCTGCTGTAGACCTGGTGGAGGAGCACAGGGTGAAGGGCTCTGTTTTTGTGACGACTTGGTGGTCAAAAGAAGAGGGGGATGTTTAAGTCATCATCAGGAGACAGCAGTCTGTTCTTGCTTTACACTCGTGCCACCCAAAAAAAACACAAGTCGAGTCTTTCCAAAGTTCCTTGGGCAGAGGAGATAGTAATACTTTCTCCAACTCAGCGGAGGATGAAGCAGAATAAAGCAGACTGAGACACTTGTTGCTTTTAAAGGGACGTCTGTTGACGGAGGAGCAACAAGTATTCCCTAATGTGAGGGTTATAATTTCATTTGGAGCTTTTCTTTTCTTTGATTTCATTTAAAAAACACAAAGATCACACGGACACACGCTCTCACACACAAAGGGAGAATTAAGATATGATAAGAGATTTCCACAACAGAGGCTGTTCTTCAAGCCTGTCTCATTAATTCATGGCTAATCCAATCAAAGCAGCTCTTGGGGTCTGCAGATGGAGAGAGACAGAGAGAGAGACAGAGAGAGGGAGGGAGAGGGAGGGAGAGGGAGAGAGAGGGAGAGAGAGGTAAAATTAATATGTCGACTGATAGGTCGGCATCACCACGGTGTGTGTGAGTGTGTTCTGCATCCATCATTTCCAAACATCCAGAAGCAGTCAGACATTTTGTGAGCTCTGTCTGCAAACTGGGAAATGTAGTTTTCCAGTTATAGAAACACGTTGAAATTGCCTTCGTAAAGCTGGGTGCATATTTAGATTAAAACCTGACTGTTGGTCAGATAAACTGTCCTTAAAATGGGTTTAACAGATGCAAAGTGGAACTGACTAACAGCGACCTTTCAGGCATTAAAACTGTTGATTTGTGAGCTACATACAAATGTGATTGATAAATTAATGCACAGTGATGTTAATCAGCTGCTGGCGGAGTCCGCCATGTTTCTACAGTAGCCCAGAACGGACAAACCAAACTCTGACTTGTGTTTAACTAAACAAAAATTGTTGAACCTGATTACATTGAAAATTTTAGGTAACACAAACTCAATTTTGTAAGACATATTCTTGAATAAGCAGCTTTTACTAGTAATTTTAAGACACTAGCTCAGTTTTAGTTATTTACAGAAACATTCCTGATTAAGGACTTTTTACAGTGTTTTCACATTACAAATAAAGACTACGAAGTCATCGTCACTTAAAATGACTAGTAAAAGTTGCTTAATTGAGAATGTTTTTAACTTACAAAACTAAGGTCAGTGCTACTTAAATGTAGCTGAATGTAATCAGTTTCAACAATTAAAGTTAACTTCTCAGCTTTTACAGTGAAAGGGGATTTCATGTGTTTGGCATGTTTTGCAGCCACTGTAGTTTCTCTTTCACTCTCAGAGCACGAGCAGTCTTCAGTTAGTTGCAATCTGCAGCTTCACCACTAGTCCCAAGCACTAGTGACTGTGATTCCCTGTTTGAACAGGGAACCTGTGGCTCCGTGTGTGTGGGCGTTCAATTTGAATCCCATTCAAAAAAGTACACTGCAGGAAAGTACACTGCAGCAGTAACAATGAAAACCACTTTCTGCAGAGCCAGTTACAGAATGCTAATTCATCCAATGGATTGCAGAATAAATAAATGCAGAGCATAAATCCAAAAGGGTTTTTAAATAATGAAATCTGAAGGATTATGACTTTAAAGTTTTAAAGGTCTGTGTGTTGTGGGCATGAAATAAACCTGATTCTGCTCATGTGCTGCTTCATTTCTGGGCTCACAAAGGGAAATAAGTGGAAAGTTCAGAGGAATTTATTTGAGTCATCTTGGAAAATCTTTTTTCTTATCTTTGTGTGTGTGTGTGT